CCATCTACCACCAAGTTTCTAAACGTAATTCAAGCATTTTAGTATAGTTTTAAAAATATTTATTAATATATAATTTATAATAATAATAATAATTTTGGTTTCAGTGTTCAGTCACTTGCTCCACTCTGACAGCTGCATCCTCTTAGGCGAATTTCTGTTAAATTCAGTTATTATTTCACTTTCATCGAATTGCTCTTTTTTATTTATATTAGCCATAGCTAACCCATTCAGTCGTTTTCCGACATGGTGCTTCTTAAAAAAATTTTTAAGCGATTAAGTGCTGAAAACGTTCTTTCCGGAGTGAAAGAGGTAACTGGTAACGTGGCGAATAATTGTAAAAGTATTTTAATGTTAGGTCGAAGATTGGTGCGATGAGAGAGTGAATCAAGAGCAGAATTCGGTTTTGGAATAGTATTTTGACTCCATTGTTGCCTCCATATGAACAGGTCAGCTCTGATTGTAGATGAGGTATCATCATGGAGATCTTGGACATATATTTTAGCAGCTTTTATAATATTTTTATCGTCATACATATTTAAATTGGTCGGAATAAGTCCTTCAAGTGGCATAACATCAATAAGCCTTTGATTAAAACGAGCATCCATTGATTCTATTAAATAGTCAAGATACATTATACATATAAACACGGCCTATGGGGGGCTATAGCCCCTTTAGCCCCCTTAGCCCCCTTTGGCTACGCCACTGATTGTAGGCGATCAGACAGTCTCATGAATCGAATGATATAATCATATATTTGGTTTTTGTTTTTATTTATTTTTACTCTTTAGTGCGGGCCACGGCTTTAGAAGATAAGTCTAAGGTCATGATGAAGGCATTTATTTTTTTTCGAAATGGCGATATCGTCGATCGCCAACATTAATAACAAACCGTAAAATGTATAAAGTATACACCAAATTCATAGACATAACTATTTATATTTTTCCAGAAATGACGACGTTTTCCCTTATCATAACTATCATATAATCTTTAATTATAAAAATAGTTTTGAAATTATAAATTGTAAAATTCATTTTCCAATTGACGTAGATTGAAATTCACATAAAAAATATTTTGGACATCAATTAGGATGAATGTGGCGTCCCCCGTTCCGGTGAAAAAATATAGTTGGGGTACGCAAAAAAAAAGTAGAGGAGCTCCGTCCCCCTGCGCACCCCTCCACCAATTCGAGCACTGGTTATAACTATACAGCATACTTTGTAATTATTTGGGTAGGTTATTAGCATGATTCATGTTGGTGATCCTTATATAGCTCGACACCATGACCGAGACGTAGTGAACTTGATCATGCTCCTGGCCTTTTTTGAAGCCCGGGCCCCTGAGCTACAGCTCCAGCTGCCCCTTCCCTCTCATCGTTGGGCCTAACTGTCAGTGTCAAGTGAAAACAATTCATGGCAAATTTAACTTAGTAAAAATCTAAGGTTTAAATGTGATAATATGGTTATTATAGGAAAAATGAATTATTAAATAAAATATAAGACCATGATGATATTATTTAAATATTAAATGTTCAATGTTTTTTTCTATTTTTTTTTTTTTTTTTTTTTATACAAAAACACGTATATGTTAGGTAAATTGAACACACCAATGTTTAGGTACCTAATAAAACACTAACGAAACATTGTTCATTCGTACACTATATTATTATTATAACTTTCTTGTTCGAATAACACACGTGGAAATCGACGCATATTTTTGTTGCTTTTCATTTTATACTTGTAATTATAATTATTATAATAATAATAATTTATTCGTCCAGAATTATGACTTTTATTGTTTAAAATAACAAATTCAATTGCTCATCGACAAATTCCTACGTTTTTAAATATTTTTTATCATGATCAATTGTTTACTAATATAGCGTTTATGATGAAGAGTCAATCGATATATTTCCCAATTTACCAAACAATAACTAAATAATAATAACTAATAATAAGTACACGTATTCAGTAGCGTATCCAGGGGGGTTAGGGGGTTATACCCCCCTCGAAAATGTTTAGTGTATGCATATTGTCTATTGATTATAATAGAAACACACAAAATTTAAAAAAATTTAAAGTTAAATTTTTATAACCTCCCAAAAAAAAAATTCTGGATACGCCACTGCACGTATTGTAAAAAAAAGTCAATCAATATAGAAAGTAACATAGGCGTGCGCAGAATTCTTTTTTGGGTTATGCAAAAGCCTGCCACTGCCTACCCCCCCCCCTCTAAACTGAAAGTTAATTTAAGCGTTCAAAATTCTGGTCTTAATAACTATTTAATTTAAAATTTTAATTTTTTTTCCTGAAAAAAAGTGACTGAATAGCCATTTCTTAATCGTTATAACTGTCTTCATAATTCAAATTTAAAATAAATTATAAAAAAAAAAATTAAATACATAACACTTAAAATGGTTTGAGTAATATGTTTAAATAGCATATATAAATATAAATGTAATTATATACTTAAATGAAAAATAAAATAAGTTGGATAAATAATCAAAATTAATCATAAAACTATTCTACGTACAGTTGAGTTCTTAATATCACCAATAATGTTTTCGGGATTTTAATTTATAGCTATTTAATCTCCCTTGAATTATTGTACTTCTTAATTTAATTAATACATTAAATCGTTAGAGCATATGATTTGTGTTTCAAAATTAAATTAAACTGTCTGGGACTGAATATAAAAATATAATAAAAATCATAATGTAATACAAAATCACATAATATATATAAGACCAAATATGTCATAATTTTTATTTATTTTTTGTAATTTTAGAAAGAAGGCTCTATGTGTAGGGTATGCAGTTGCATACCCTGCATACCCCCTGCGCATGCCTATGGACAATAACATCTGTTTATACTTCCTGTAACCAAAGAAAAATAATAAAACTTCATATTTATTTATTGTTATGAATTTGTAATATTTCTCATGTTCAAGATGTAAAGATTTGTAAATAATGTCCCGTGAAGTTCAGTTATCTCAATAAATTTATTAGTGAAGAGTTTTTAAGTAGTTTTTTCGAAGAAATGAAAATCTTTTTCGTTTAGTTGTTATGTTCATTTTAAATAGGATTAAATCTTTTCAATTTGTAATTTTCACACTGCACGATTTTGGTAACTACAAATAAGGGCCGACAATGCAATACGTGTTTAGCCGGGTTCACACTACACCGTGACGTGTATTTTACCAGACCGTGTGCTTTGAAAATGTATGATACCAATATATATCTTATGGTGATGTTATCAAATTTTGGTTACATATTTTCGCAGTTTTTTCATTAGATATAAAATATTTTCATAAGTTTCAATAAATAGTAACTGATGAATATTAAATTATATAGTAGACAATATGTATTATATTATTATTAGGACTCGGAACTTAATGCACTTAAA